GACGGGAGAATACCGAGCTCATGGAAATCTGGGTTCCGCATTCTTCTCCAAAGGAAATTACCGGGAGGCCCTTACTAACCACAGACATCAGCTGGTGCTCGCCATGAAACTCAAGGACAGAGAGGTAGGAAGCTTATTAAATAGACTGAATTGGGACTCAGCACCGCGTGGTTTTCTAGAGATACGAACATGTCAAAAGCCTTGTCTGTCTGCTCTGTTATTCTGAGAATTTGGAAGCAACGTGATTTCTCTTCCCAACCATTCACTTGCCCTTTGTTGGAAGAAATTATCTGTACCAGTAGGTGCAGTATGTGAGCGGCAGGATGCCTTTTGTGTCCCCCTGCCTCTAGTCTCCACGTGCCCTGAGCGGGTCGTTCTGCCACCCTCTCCCTTCCTGTCCATTTTCCCGCAGTGCACAGGCTGCAGGGTCGGGGGGTAGAAGCTGTTGCTGCGTAGGTGTCCGTACAGCAGCTCTGCCGCTGAGCCCTGGCTGTCATCAGCTCTGTTTCCCTGCGATACAGGTGCTGCTGGCTTGAACTCTCTTGGGGTGCATCCTGTGTTGTGCCTTTTCCAGATCAGTAATGAGCTAGCTCCCCATCCTGAACATTCACGCAAAACACGCTTTGTTTAAAAAGTAGTGAAAATAAAAAGAATCCATGTAAACCGGAGAATACAGTGTTGTGTAAAGTGCAGGGGCTGCTCGCACTGGGTCTGGTTTGCCTTGGTCGTTTACTGTTCAGCTCTCAAGGCGCTGCGCTGGGCTCCCGGCCAGGGATGAGCGCTGCACGGACTGGAGGTTCTGTCCCCAGGGATTTCTGCTGGAGGTTCACTGCAAGGACAGAGTTGTAATTTCAGGGCAGGCTGCAGACACCAAAGCTGTTCCCCTGCTCCGGTGGAGCCCCGCTGCTGTGGACAGCAGGCGCGCGGGTTGCGTGGGCGGTGTGGGGAGCGGCTGGAGGCAGCGGCGTGGGTAGTTCTGGGGAGGTGTAAAAACTGGGGGAGATCAGTTTCCCACTAATAAGTCATTGAAAAGATCCGTTTGAAATAGCTAAGTGCTTTACTGAAGTGTTTTATAATTTAAATACCAAGTAAGCCTGGGAGAGATGAGTCGTTCAGTGGAGTGTGGAAGGACCTGGGACTGGTGGAGGGACCTACGGGACATTTTCATGAGTATTTTACGGCTGAAAAACCTCCTGAATCACTCCTGATCTCCTTGTTTCTGTTCACGCAGAGCAGAAAAGCTGTTACTCGTCATTGTTTTTACAGTTTTCCTGAGCAGGGGTTCCTGCTCTGTGTGGCGGCTCCTCCGGGTGTTTCTCTGAGCAGCAGACCCCCCCGGCGTGGGCAGGGGGCTGCAGGAAGCAGCAGGAAGCTGGCTGCCCATGGCGAGTGCGGCAGCCCCCAGCCCTCAGGCTGGTGCATTTCCCTGCCTGCAGCCCGCTGGCTGAAACTGATCCCGAGGGTCGTCTGGGGGAATCCAGGGAATGGAGGCTGGTCAGGAGGGTTCTTAGTTTATGACACATCTGGGCACATAATTAACAGTTATTGACAACAAGTGACTACTTGGTTTAGCGAGAAAGCTGAGCTTCTTGGATTTCCTGTAGGATGTAACCACAGGAAATTAATTTGGCGCTTTCTGATGACATCATCTTAACCACAGAGCTTCCTCTGAACAAAAAGCTGTTTTTCTTGGCCTCCTGCGCAGACATTTCTGTAATGCAAATGTTATAAAGTTGCAGTAGTGCTGATGTGAATTCCACCAGAAGGGAGCTGGGTGTGCGGCTGCAGTGAGGTAATGGTTGTACCTCCAACTGCACAGAGAATGGGCTCAGGAGGTGGAGAGTGCTCCTTTGTGTGGAGGCTGCTGCCCTCGGAGGGAGCGTGGGGCTGCTGAGGCAGGCGTTGGCACCAGGGGCTTCTGCTGGATCACGAAGCTCGCAGACCCAGGAGGAGGCTGCCGAGGGTCCGGCTGCAGCGCTCGGTCTGTCCTCCCCACGCAGGCCTGGAGGAGGGAAATGGTGTCAGGAGCCTGGGGAATCAGCCAGGCTGCTCAGGTGGACGGACGGTTTGAAGCGCGTTTCTCTCCCTGGCACGGGGAGGCTGTGTGGCCCCGTTACAGGCGCCGTGTCGCAGCGAGCGCAGTCCGTGTGCCCGGACGTCGCCACTCTTTGCAGTCACCATGTGGGGAAGAGCTCAGGCTGGTTTGCCATCCTTGTGCCCAGGAAGAGGATGGAGCAGAAGGGTCTGGGATGTCTCTAGCGTCTCCGAGAGAGATCGTGGGGCATTGAACATACGGGCGGTTTCGGTCTGTGCAGGTGAAGGCTGGTTCTTAGCACGATGCTGTAGTGGCACCGTGAAGCAGCCGTCCCCAGGGTCACGTCAGTGCTCCCCGTCACAGTTAGGTGATGGGCTGGATTTTTTAACCAGCTGCAGTGGCTGCTCAAGAAATTCAGATGAGCTGATCCTGTGAGATTGTTTCTGAAAGAATTAGCAGACCTAAAAGCACAGTTGATTCAGGAAACCAGAGATCGTAAGGGACTCAGTCTTTCCTTCCGTGCGTTCTTTGCTTGCTGTGGAGCTTTGCAGATGGTCACTGTGTCAGGAGGACACCATCCTCGCAGAAGGAGGCGCAGCAGGAGAGGGGAGCGTAGGTACGACCGTCTGGAAGGACGGCTGCAGGCGCATGCAGTTGAAGAGGAAGCGGCAGCGCAGCCTGGTATCTGTCATTTCTCTGTGCAGATGAAGCAGAGCAGATTGCAGCGTGGGCTGCGCTGGCCTCCTGCAGACCCTGGGAATGTGCTCAAGTTGAGAATCCCGGTGGAGCCTCTGCTGCTGCTCTCACGACGGCGTCTCCTGTTCTGGCTGAAGCGCAGC